GCCGTATTGTTGCTATGGTAACCTATTGTGCCACAAAATTGACGCAAGATGTTCACCAATGATTAGGCAGGGTTTCGACACCATGATTTTGGCATCTACCACTATAGATTGGTTTTAAATGACCCATCAAAATCTAAGTCTTGGAAAGTACTGGAAACTGTTTCAAACAACCTTAATAATCTATAAGACCTATAATATTGAAGGGTTAATTTGTGATAAAATGCAAAATAACACCGCAAACCAGTTGATATGCAAGCCAATGTTTCTGAAAATTGATCGGTGATTTCTCCAGGATTTTCAGTCACTCGAGGTAATTAGATGTTATACAATTAATTTAAGGCCAAAGTACCCTTTAGTCAAGTCTTTTGGCCATACGTAGTTTGCAATCACATTTTAAAGCAGTGTTGTTTTTGGTCTATTTTGATGCCTTGAAACTTCACCCGCCATTTTCTTGGAAATGCTCATAATTTTTTGAACACTTTTGCCTTTGTTTAGACATCTATGTTAGGTCCTTGATCTTGACGTCATATATCCAAAATTATCCTTTAATGATAAGATATTCAGTCTCATATAAAATGGGGTATTACATCATACTGTTGCCCTGGTAACTCAGATCTTGGTGAAACACATGTCATTTGAAACTTTCATCTTTCTCTAGCGTACCAGTGACGTTCAAGTTTTAGTTGGATTGATTAGTTGAACAGTATCATTTCTCAAGAATCTGATGAAGCCACCTCAAAAGTTTGGAACAGTGAAAGAGAAGATTGAGAGAAGACGTCCTTAATTTGTTAATGAGAAAATTCCAAAGAAAAAGTGTGTCATTCTAGAGAGTGATATCATTTGTGACAAAGAGAAAATCAACAAGAAAGTGCAAACTGTACTCCACATGAAGCTACGGGTTGTTTAACATATTATTGGTACTTTCGGCTTTCAATTTTCATCTACGTGTCTTTTGATATTGAATTTCTAGGTGGAGTGGGATTCCCAGTTTTTCCAGAAGGCTTTGGATCAACCCTCTCAACAGAAGCTCAGTCAGTCATTCAAAAGATCCAGAAGAAGTGTTCTGGGGATCGTAATCGAGGATTACTGGTTGCTTCCCGTTCCTGGCTTGGGAACACGGGAGGTACCCCCATGGAGGGCGTCATTTGTGATCTTCTCCTGATCAGCAGAAACATGGGTGGACTTCACCTGTTCACCCTCTGTGATAGTGCTACTGATGACAGATTGCTGGAATATCTGGAATACAGCAGAGAAGCTGCCCGATCCATAAAGATAAGCCTGGTAAAAGACGGCGCCTGCAGAGAGAAGTTCTATATTTCGTCTCATGTGGTTTCTTGTATGGAGGAATCAGTCATAGAACTAGAATCGTGTGATTGCCGGTACCCCAAAGGATATGATCTGAAATCTTCCCGGGAAAAGCTTAATGAAGTGCTGAAGTCAATGGTTATCATTCTAGCTTCAGTGCCATCAACTCTTTCTAACAAATTGGGTGTGAGTATTATGAACCTCCTGACCAGGGAACAGTTCCAGTTAGTGCACCAGCAGATCGAAGTCAACAGAGAGTTGTGGATCAAGGGCGTTGCTGGAACGGGCAAGACCCTTGTGGCGGTGGAATTTATGAGGGAGCTTCATCGCCGTGAGAAACTGGACAAGTCAGAAATTCTCTGTGTTTGTGAAAATGAGGGGATTGCAAATCAAATAAGGTAAGAATAAATGTTGGTTCAAACTTGGGTGTAGTTATGTACTTATTTTGTCTGGTAACAGTTAGTCATTTTATTATGGTGAATTTGTCATTTTTGTTTTCACACATTTGGTTTTCAGACTTCACAAGCCTATTATTTAAGAAATAGAAAACATGTGCCGTGTTTCTATCGAGTTATAGAAACACAAGTGAAAATTTAGGAGAACGAGAAATGCTGTGGGAACACGAGCCATGGGCGGGTGTTTCCACAGCTTTTGCGAGTTCTCCCAAACTTTCACTCATGTTTCTATAACTCGATAGAAACACAGAAAACTTGTTTTCTATTTCTTTTAGAAAACACCGCGACGAAACTCTCTTTGCTCGCGCCATCATTATGTCAACAGCTCGTCCTAGTTCTGTGTTTCTATCGAGTTTTAGTATAAATCTACTAGCGTTCTATCACAAATGCCGTTCTCTGATTGGCTACGCTACTCACTATCTATTCTGTGATAGATAGTGAGTAGCGTAGCAGTGTGCCCATGTTAACGGCCGCTTCTTGGCGTTTTCGAAGTGTCTGTGAAGAGGATTTAGATGAAGTTTTTAACGACTAGTAGATTTATACTAAAACAATTAGATTGTTCGCTCTCGATGTCTATGTGTGATAGTTGACTCGGGCTGGGCCCTCGTCAACTATCACGCGATAGAAATCGAGAGTGGATAATCTAATTGTTTAATAGAAACACGATTTTTAACCAATAAGCGTGCGTATTTTCTTAGGGCTGTTTTCTAATAAAATTTTATGTGGGTTTTTTTTTGGGGGGGGGGGGGGGGGGGACCTTTTCAGAATTTTTTTACTGGTGGAGATGGATTATTGTGGTGAAAGGAAATCATACTATTCTTTCCTTCAATGTTTGATTCATTAGGGAAAGCAACGTGTGCCATGTAGTTTGTCGCCAGACATTCATGTGGGTCCAGTTTAATTGTGTCAAACATGTGGTTATGGATGAGGTACACAACTATGAACAACCCATAGGCACTGAATCCTGGCATCAGAAGGCAAGAAAACTGGTACGACAACATAATCGGGAAAAACCAGGATACCTGTGGTTTTTTATTGACAGATGTCAGTCTAATCACACATTCCCAACAGGCATTCCACCCGAATCGGAACAGAAGCCTGAGTTCGCGTTAAAAAAGGTCATTCGCAATTCGAAGAAAATATTTTCTCTTTCAAAAAAGTACGTCCCAGACAATGATGTCAGAAACAATCTTGAGATGGGTCATGATTTTGAAGGAGAAAATGTGGAGGTGGTATCCTACTCAAGGAGTGCAAGATCCCAGATTTATGTTGTCAAAGAAACCTTAGACAGGCTTTTGAACGATGGATATAGAGAAGGGGATATAGCTATTTTGTTTAAAAAGGGGGCTCTTATTCCACGCCTTTCTTTTTCCTTCAAGTCTGCAACAGAAAACAGTTCTGATGCTATAGTTGTCAGCTCTGTTCTCAAGTACAGTGGTCTGGAAAGACCTGTGGTTGTTCTTGTTGACGTAGATGATGGCATTATAAAGGGACGTAAAAGAATACCCTTTATTTATGGTGCAGTTACAAGGGGCATGGTAAAACTGGTTATTATACAATGTAAAAATTGACTGGACTTTATCAGTTCCAAACCTGTTCCAAAACTTCATTGAAGGTGGCTTGCATTTCATTGCACTCATTTGAGTTCTGTACAAACTAGTGTTTTTTAGAATTTCTACAATCCTCACGAACAACGAAAAGACATTGAAAGAACACGAAGTCTTTTCTTTGATTTGTGGGCAGAAAAAAAACACGATCGATTACAGACCAAGGAAGCGCATTGCGGACAGATACATGTAAAATGGATTTGTAGAGCCTTGAAAGTAAACAGGTTGATTGTAGATGCAAAGGTCGGCAAATTCCTATTTAATGTCTGCTTGTACCACTAGTTCCTCTCTAACGACTAAGGTACCAGAACTGGAGACAATGTGGTAATTTTGTCTCTTTAGTGGAAAAACAGTTAGGAATTCTCTCTATACCTACAGAGAATGTTTAAATATAAGGAAATGTCTTATTTTCGTCCATAACTTGAAAAATCAAATTACCTTGTAACTTTTAATATTTTTAACTATTTTAGTAGCCTAGCTGAAAATGTTAAAGTAGTTACAATAATGTTGGTTATTGAAAATATGGCATCCTTGTTAGATGTAAGTAAAAATGGCAAAGTAAAGTACATGGGTAGGTTTACAGCTATAGAATGCTCTGGGCTCACTACTACTTTGTTAGCTACAGAGCTAACGTCCTCCAGAGTTGTCTTTTAGTACCTTTGTGCACATAGTGGCTGTAATCTCACCTTTAGACTTTACTAAACTGAATATAGACTACAATTTTAGCTTTCTCAGTTTACTAAGACGTAACTGATGTGCATATATAAAAAGTTTAACTGCAATAAATTTGGAAGTTTGTTCATGGCAATATGCGACTATGATGTATATATGACATGTAACTGAAATGTCAATATAATAATGTGTAAAACATAGTGTAGGTGAAATCGTTTGTGATATTTTTAGCTTTCATGCATTTGTCACTTTCAAGTTCTTTGAAGCTTTGAAGAGTTATGATGGCGCGAGCAAAGTAAATTTACATTTTCATGATCCTAATCAGTTTGGGGGGGGGGGGGGNAAGCATGGAAAGATATTAAAAATATAGAATCAAAAGTTTTTGTTAAAAAAGAGTTTTCCTCTAATCAAGGTTGCGTCATATAAAAATGCATACCGATTCCACAGGAGTGCTTGCGCTTCTACTGACTTAGCCCCAGACAATTAGATTTGCAGTGTCTCAGAGCAGTAAATGTGTTTTTGTGTTTTTTTTTACCTGAAGACTAAATAATTATTCGAAGCATTGCCAAAACTCGGTATCGTATGAAGTCAGTCAGTTGGGTGGTGTAACTGTAAATTTTTGTTCATCCAAAATTGAATATGAGTGGTAACTTGTAATGTTAGATTATAGATGGGTCATGATGTACTTGCTGTATTTCTCAAGAGCGGTTTTCTAATCTGTTATTTTCGCCTTGGTTTACTGATGGCTGATTTCTGCGGTTGATGTAAAAATATCACGTTACGTGCTCTTTTCCAGTTCGAGAATAGAGTTAAGACGTCAGCATTCTGGCCTATCAGATTGAAAACCGACTTTCGCCTGCTTTACACACCTGGATTCAGGTTCGGCTTTGCGTTCAACTTGGTTTAAGACGCCATCTGTTGTGACTGGTTCTATTATTTTCACAAGTCATCCACTTTGAGACATTTGTTGGATAGCTGCGCTAGGAATTTGGAATTGTTTTTTCTGAATTGTCAGATTTGTATTGCAAATTGGAGTGTAAGTAATAAGAATATAGTATTGTAAATTATTTTGATAGTCTAGATTATTGTATATTATTTTAAGTCATAGTATTATAAATTGTAGTATATTTTTTCAGGATGTTTTTGATATTGACAAATTTCCTTTTAGTTTTTATTGTTGTAAAAGATGAACTTTTTAGGGCTTACCGAGTAGAATTAAATGCGATTTGTTAAAAATTACACGACTAACTTATTTTGTTACTTCGCTTCGATTCGGCGATCAGTGTTCGACGTGAAGAAAAATGAACTGTCCAGAAAGTTTTAAAACAATCTTAAAGTTGGTGGCGATATTCTCCCCAGCACTGTTTGTTTCAAGTGTATCTATACAATAAAACTTACACAGCACCAACTTGGCAAAAGCTATCCCCAGAGAACGCACTCACAGGTATAAGTGATATAGGTGTGTGCCACTGTGAAGGGTAAGGTTTTCAAGCAGTTTGTCTGGAATAGGATAAAGAACTCAGAGTTTTGATCGTAATGTATCATTTAAGAGAAAGCTGATCTATGGTGTGATGAATTTAGTCCAGACTAAGAATTGACACTTCTCAAACTCACTAATTGCGTTCGACAGAACGCAGTTCTGATCAGGGAAAATCGAGTTTTTCCAGTATGCATCTTTCTTTGGANCCCCCCCCCAAAAAAAAATTCTTCAGGGGCTAATGACGTCGTCTCTATTTTCGTCCATGTGCTTTCTTGAGGCAGCTTTTTGTGGACTGTAAGCGGTTAAGTTGTTTCTTTAAAGTTCGAAGTCAGTGTTAATGGCATTTAAAAATGCACGACTTTTCGTACGAACAGAAAGCTGTGGTTTGGCTGCTTGCTGTGTACTCTCTTCTCTTTGACCAAAACCAACGCTGCTTTCTGCTGACTAAATCAAATGGAGGAAATGTGTAGTTTCACTTCGCTGGCCTAGCTTTCTGTGGGCAAAATACGTAATATGAACTCAACGAAAGTGTTCACATAGGAAAAGAGTTCAGCTCCCACAGGATTGTTTTGGTACTCCAACTCCAGTATAAAACGCAGACTAAGCATTATGGACTGGGTATAAAACATGGACTCGGGTACAAAACGCGGACTCCGGACCAAATGCGGTCTACCGACTGCAGTTCGTGTTTTTTAATGACCGGTCGCAACTAATATTACGTAATACATGTATAAACGAGACCAAACCCTCTCGTATGCGCGTGCTTTACGATCAATTTATTTGTTTTCGCCCCTGCTGGAGGGAGGCCAATTTCACGTCTACCTAACAGCTCGGGCACAAAATGCTGTTCCTAGAATTTTTGCTTCTACTAGTAATTAACCAAATTTAAACAAAGGAAACCCTAAGCGTGACGGTGTTTAGATAAGTCATCTTAGATTACCATGGATTTTGACGATTTTGTTTTTCCGTTTTCTCTTTAGTTTTAGTTTCGATTGAGAAGATAAATCAAACGCACAAGACAGTATTTGACCACATTTCCAAACACCTCGAAGTTCGTCAAAAATACTCTGTTACGCGTCATTTTTAATTAACTCTCTTCTCGGTGTTTGGAAATGTGGTCAAACATGGTCTTTCGTGTTTGATACAGTACTTCAAGTTGAGAAATAACATCATTGTACCAACTTTTTAAAGCACCAAACTGTGATTGTGAGCAGGCTATGGATAGGGTAAGGATTTGAAGTGTGTTTTCTAGAACAGGGTCTCAAAGTGCAGCTGAACATCATCTGGGTAAGAAGAGTTCCAGCTGCAAACCCCTCAATCTTGTGAAAGTAACAACCTCTTCGGCATTAGTAGCCTCCTATTGTTACTTTATGATATGACGCTACTTTCGGGTAGCTTAACGTAACGCAAACGCTGGTTGATCCATTAGAACACTATCGCGTGTGGCAGATCGCCATCCTCTGGAGACCCAGATGCAGTCAGTGGGGGCGAGGGAAAGTCGAAACGAGGGGAAAAATACCTGGGGAGTACTCCCTTATATGGGCTATATAGGTTTGCGGGGCGCTAAAGGGTATGATTTTTCAGCCGTTTTGGTCATAAATAGGGTATGGTTTTTGCTCTCCAGCCTTGATGTTGGTAAGAAGCCACTTTTCATCATCATCGAAAACAAAATCAACAAAAGTGCTTCACAAATTATTTTTACGGTAATTTGACATTGGTCTGATCAAGGGAACTAATTACAATGCATGTCTCAAACAGGATTTTGATTTAGGGTCAGGTCACAGGGTCCGAAATTGCGCTTTCCTGGTTGCCACAGCTGGTCGCCAGCGGGCGATTAACTATTTCATGCCATGATAATTACACAAACAATCACTTTGATTTTCAGCCAAATCGATTGAAATAAAATTCAAAGCCGCCCGCCAATTGATCACTTCCGTTTTACCTTTCCGCTGCTTTTGAAGTATAAAACCGATTTTCCTGTTATTATAAATCTACCACAACGTCTCACAGCGGCGATCAGTGCGAAGCTTTGCTGCCATGTTTTTTCAGCGGTTTCCCATAACATACGCATTGCGGGCGCAAGAAGCCATGTGCGTTCTTTCGCCATGAATACTTATCCAGGCGATGTGGTGTCCAAAGATGTTCTGAAATCTTTTCGTAATTTATTACAAGGTGGAGCCGGAACATCCGCGAAGAAATTAGATGAAGATTTAGATATTCTCTGGGCGTCAAAAGGTGGAAATGTAGATCTGTCAAAGTGGTCAAAAGATGATTTGCGCACTGGTTTGATTCCTGATTACATCGATTGCAAATATTTTACCGGCAAGCCCATGGTGACCAAAAATTTTGGTTTGTGTTTCGCTGCAAAAGAAAAATTTTATTGACACTTTTTGGCGACCACATTTTTCCATTTGGCGACTGAAAAAAAAATTTCAGTCGCCAGTTGGC